GCATCTTACACAGTATAACTTAATCAGTAAGATAACTAACAATAACGGATATTCTGATGCGTACCGTTATCATTTAAAAATCAAAATTATTTTATGGATATTTTTCTTAGTTTGTCTATCTATAACATTTAATGATTAATACAATTCAGCAGGTTTGACGAAAAATAAAAAAATGTATACAAATAATTACCAATCGTTATTTCTTTTTGAAGAATGTAATCTTCTCTCTCTCTCATGAGATTACATTCTTTCAACATTCATTCATTTATTTTTTGCAGTTTTAAGGTTAAAATAAACAATTTACATTACTGCAACCACGAAATATATTGACAATATCTTGTGTTCTTTTCCAAAGATGGATACATTATCTACATTGTATTGTCTTCAATACCCCTTCACATATATTTGTCTCAATGTAGTTTTTTATTAAAATATAGAAAAGATTTTTTGTACTTAAAAAACCAGTTAAACAATATCGTTATATTTATACGACCATTACATCAAATATCGATATAGCTGGGACAGTTAACTGTTTCAAAGATTCCTGATTTTTAAGTACAAAACTGCTGTCGTTAGCTTTATTTAAAAAAAAAAAGTTTTTAGTTAATTATAAATTTTATAGTCGTTAAAGAACTATATGGGAAACAAGTTGATGAAAATTTGAATATCACTTTTTGTCACTATTTTTGGAATGTTAATTTGCCTTATTCATGGAATGTAATGTGTATTTTTGATAAAAACTTAACTAAATAAGGTCTTTTAATAACTTTTTAACTTTGTTAATATCAGTACTACTATTATAAGTTCAAGGAAACAATCACAATTTTTAAAAGTAAGTATGTAAACAGCTTACAAATAAAATATTTGCATGCTATGAGAGCTAAGACATATAATATGAATACAGGAGAAGAAAAACGATTATGTAACAATTATAGGCTGACCCAAGTCTATGACCTGTCCTATCCTGGTCAAAATGTCAAACAATTTAAAGATATGTGATCACATTAATTCCCGTGTATAAACCTTAATAGATTTTTTTTTCATAAATAAGGTCTTCATACAAAAAGGCTGTATAAAGGTTTACACGCAAGAACATTTGGTACATATAACAATAATTGCAAGACATTCTTCAACGTAATAGAATTGAGAAAAACCAGAGAACCTAGTGTGAGTTTTTTTCACATCGACTCAACCGTCATGGTGAGTGCGTTCGGCGTTGCGATTCACCGTAATTCAGTCACTGTCAAGAGCGAATTGATGTGACATAAACTCGCACGAATCCAATTGTATATTTGTCTATTACAAAACATATCGGATCAGTACCAATGACTAATAACTAGTGACATCAGTACGTTATTACCGATATCAAATACGTTATTGCCAATTTCAAATACGTTATTACCGGAGCAAATATTTTAATTGTCAAATAACATCACTTTACCGTTCTTATGTTTTACAAGTTCTTGTGAGTGCATTATTCTACACGTTGCTGACTAACCTGGAGATTACAAGTCATCTGTAATATTTTTACACCAAAAATGGCTTCTGATATGATTTCTTTTCACTTCAAATTCTGAAGTAAACACGTCAATCGATACCACATTTTAATGTTTACATTATAAATATGTTTGATACACGAGAAACTTAGTTGTCAAACCCAACCATATCAAGCATTGCTCTTACACAATGCTTTATTATTTCTATTTAGGAATGTTAAAATCAGGAAAAATCCCGCGCGAGCATGCAACTGCCTGTGTGTAAAGCAAAATCGGACCGTTGCAGCAACAATACTAACAAATTGCACATAAATATTCTTTGGTTAATAATACAAATTATAGGACTAGCAATCAGTTATAAAAATAAATTAATTAATAAATAAACTATCCTTAAATAACTTAAATATTTTTTCTTGAACTAGATGTTATTTTTTTATTAAAAACAACTTAATTAGGTTTCGATTGCATTGCAAGACTCTATGAAAGTTTAAATTTTTAATCTTACGTATAAGATTTTGTCTACACACTTTTTTAGTATTCATCTTATTTTAATACTGAATCAATGATTGCGATAACTATTACGATTGAAACCAGCTACTCTTTACTCACACTTTTTCCAGAACTCTAAAATAAAAAAATAAAACATAAAACTCTCTTCTTCTTCTTCTTCTTGTATAAATTATAAAACCTTCTCGATCAATGCAACACGAACCTAAAATACAACTCGAGCATTTTCTTTAGCTATATTTTGCACAAATCAGACTAGACTTATAATAAAGCGGATCCCTTAAATAAATACATTTTATATCTAAATTATAACTAGTTAATATCACGCACAAATTTGCTTTTAAGTTCATCAGCCGTTACTAAAATAATATGGAATGACTACATAACTTTGACTAGGTAACGAAACATCACATGACTATTTTAAGATACGTATGTTTCAATTTCATAAAACGCAACGAACTTACGTAACGATCAAAGTTACGGCACTTTTAAAGGACGTTAACTATAGCGTGCCATTATATATATTTATGCTTAAAGGTATTAACGCGCTCACGATAGGTATTAAGAACATACCTTTAAATTATCTGACGTTTCGAATTGTCGTGAATTCGAAACTGTCAAACCAGAGCAACCTGAAGGTTAATTCTCGGAAAAAAAAAATCGATCAAAATTCAGTGCCGTCTACTGTCGATCTCACAAATGTCACAAGAGGTATTTTTGTAGTAATATTTTAGACATCTAACAATGACGGTAATGTGATTATATCGTATTCTGACCGAAAGTTTTAGTACTACTTTCATCATCATCATCAACAGCCTATAACAGTCCACTGCTGGACATAGGCCTCTCCTTAGGAAGGAGGTTTTAGCCTACTATACCACGCTGGCCAGACGGGTTGATATAGGGTTTGTTTCAAGTTTTCCTTCTCTTTGCAGTGCTGTTGTCCTGCGTAGTTTGCTCCCTTAGTCGGCTCTTACGACACCCACGGGATGAATAGGGGTGGTGACATTCCGTATTCTTAATCCGTCACCACAAGGACTACTTTATTACGAAAATATCTTTTATGATATTTGTAAGATCAAAAGCGGATCGGAACTGAATTTTGAACGAATTTTTATTGCGAGAATTAACCCTCTGGTCACAGGCTGACTGTCAGTTAGACAAACTGTGACTACGGCCAGAGTAACCTGGTCGAAACGTCAGACAATTCGAATATTTAACATGAGCGCGTAACATAACTATGTTTGCAATGGCAATTTTAATTTGATAACTTCTTAGTAAAAGTATAAATCTCTTACGAATATAACCAATATTAGTCGTGAAACATGATTTTATACTAGCTAAAACCAAATCATATCGCAAATTTTCAACAAATACTTACTACGTAGAAAAGAAGTTAGATAAATTTTAGTCAGAAATCTCTTTGCAAATGCTAAAATCATCTTTCGAGCCTTTTGCCCAAGCTAGGTTGGGGTCGGCTTTCAGTATACTAAGACACGACTAAACTTCGTTTTTTTCGTGAAGTGACTGCTAGCAGACCTCCACAACCCAAGTGCTAGACGAAATCGTAATTTTGTAACTAGACCGTTGTCGGACATTTTAGGGATCCGACTGCCCATAAAGATTTCCAGGGATGTTCGGTGGCAATCGGAACCAACGGCTTGCCATCACAAGCCGCGGAAAAGGTTAACTGTGTTATGAATGGTAACCCATCTATAGACTGACCGGGCTAGGATTGCTTGCCTAAATGCTAGAAGACAATAAAAATATTCGTAACGATACTAATGCAAGACTTTTTAGTCTATATGTTAAACAAATTGCGTATTCTTTAGATATATATCAGTTAAATTCGTAAGAGTTCAACTTCTGAATGTACAAAAAACATAATTCCCTCTGTATAGCCTTTATTTCGATATATATCTTATTGATATTGCATTTTAATTAGTAATCGTGTGATGTATTCGCAAAAATAATATAAAAAGACAATCCGATTTGATCGGATATTTTTGCTAATTTAAAAACATCCGAAGTGCCATTTTGTTATAATTATCTAATTTATCAATTACTTTTGGATCAGGCGCCACATTACTAACTTCAAAATAAATTGATCTATGTAGATAAAAAAATATTATATGTGTAAAAAAAACAATATTATTGCACTGTAACTATCTATAGCAGTTATTAAAAAACGATTGATTCAGTTTTGATTGATAGGTCTGAATCAATCAGATTGCCAAATCCAAAGCAATTGTGATACACTAAAAATACATATTGTCATTATAAAATAAAAACTAAATGTTACTATTTAATTCACGTTTGACTAGTAACGTTTGATAAAGAGATCAATCTGGGATATATCTTCGTATCTTTGTCGATAGAAATATCAACCTACAGAAAACATATCATATTAGATACGTATTTTATCCTTCAATCGAATACTGACTTTACTTATCGTAACAAATACAGTTTTTACATCATCATCTTCATCTGAATCGATTGTACAATCGACTAATTACGCTTCATCAACATACCTATCGACAGGTGATAACTTAACACCCCAGTGGCTAACAACTAAACGTCATCTAACCAGCGTTTCACTAATTAAGTCATTTAAACTGTACACATTTGTTACTCATACTTTCCATGGGCTCCAAATTTAATTGAAAGACTACACATACATATCATCAACTTAAATAACTACTTCAGATTTCAAAGACAGTAAGATTTATAGAACAATAGAACCTAATTTTTAAACAATTTTTTGCCATCACAATTCAATTTGAATTGAATTTTGATTCAACACTTTATTCAATTTCAAAACTGAATATTTCAAGACAGTCGTACTATTGTAGTTAATATTAAGCAAAATGTTTATATTAGAATTGTCCTTAAACAAATTTATGACTCCTGCATCGGGGTGGTCACTGAAATGGTACATTCAGAGCCCACAAGAACCGTTTCTCAGAGCACTAAAAGCTGCTGCTGAGGGATACGGCGTCACAACAGGTGGTCGTCGGCATCATCATGGTCTTCTTCAGATTCTGCTGAATCTAGACTTGGTACTCTATCGAGGTCGTGACCGTCGCACTGTGCATCTAATTCCGTGGATGGTGCATCGTCATCTTTCCATTTGTCCATTGATCGTCTTCGGGCGTTCATAAAGAAATTACCTACTGTAGTCGGCTCTAAGCCGAGCTGCCTCGCTATTGTAACTTGCATTTCTTTTGATGGTCGTTTTGTTTCCTGAAATTGAAAATTAAAACATAATTAGTTGCGATGTCAGTACTTGCTAATGTCACGTTAACATTATGGAGAAACTTAATTAAATTTTAAAAATATTTCGCTGACTTTAATGGGTATATTGTACAGTTGTCATAAAAGCACTTTCAAACGAAATTTCTGCAATTTCTGAATTACCATAAACTGGCGATGAAGAGAGAGACAATCAGAGCTCATTTTTTATGGATCACACACACTTTCATCTCTTTGTTTTTCTAATTTATTTGCTTACTATTTGACAAAACAGAGATTGTTGCTTTTGTGTGTGTTGATCTATGACTTTAGAGTCTTCAAACAATTTTAAAACAAAAAAGAAAAGATGTTTTCAAACAATTTTAATTTTTTTATGAAATGAAGAGAGTTTAAGTTTGTAGATTTAATTTCTGACGACTTGCATTTTTGGGGTTCGCTTTGCGAATATAAGTAAATTTTATAAGTCGTCTAAATCTACAAAAATATAATATAATGATTTTAATATATTCTATTACTGTCTAAACACATTGACTATCTGATATTTTTAGTACAACACAGTAAGTAGATAACTTACTGTGATATATTACCTACTATATATACGACGACCGAATGGCGTAGTGGTTTGTGTATATGCTGCTACGAGTATTCCAAAGGTTCGATTCCTGCTCAAGTCAAACATTTGTGTGCACCTTTAATGTTTGATTTGGTCTGGGTGTTTCTATGTATAATATGTATGTAATTCCAAAAAAAAAAGTATATATGTATTTATATCAATTGTCTAGTACCCATAGTACAAGTTCTGCTTAGTTTGGGACTAGACAATGCTATGTGAATGTAGTAAAAAAAAAAATTACCTTAGTTATTTAAAATAACTTGGAATAAGATAAAATACTTACTTTAAACTTAACGGTAAAGGGGCCTTGCATGAGATTCATTATGTAATCAAACTTACATGTACTTATATTCATAAACAGCTGGTACCCGGGTCGTCGTCGGTCTGGGCAAAATTTTATAGTATTTCCGAGCAGGAAAATAGCCTAAATTACTTCTTATATAGACACCTGGTAGTAAAATATTATCAAAATTGGTCAATCCGTTTTGAAGATTACCCGAAACAAACAGACAGACAGACCGACACACAGACAAAAAATATTTAAACTGGTCTTTAGGCATAGGTATCGTGTAAACAACCGTGCTAGCATGAAAAAAACCGACTGAAATAAAATTGAAGTGTCTGTTTGTAATGTCAAAATTATTATTCGTTAAATATTATTATATTATTAAAATCGGTCCAGCCGTTTCGGAGGAGTATGGTAAATAAGATTTATATCGAAATTACCTTAAAAATAGCCTGTAGAGTACGCCGCTGGAGGTCTGTGAAAACCAAACGCGGCTTCTTCGGGGAAGGCATGGTATCCGAAGTTAAATCCTCCTTGCGCTTGCAGCCTGCAAAGGCACAACCTACACTTGAAGTGTTTTCCATCATTCGTTGAATTGAATTTAGATTTATAAATTAAATACTAAAAAAAGGATGATTGCACTGGTACAAAAAATCGGTTTATTTTCGTTGGATCTTAGTTTTGAATTCCAGTTTAGTATTTTTGGCGTTGGATGCCACAAAATACAGTGCTTTTTAGTCTAATTCGGAAACTTATTTAAAATTAAGATTTTGTTTTAGATTTAGCTAAATCCATATACCTATCAAATTTCTACACAATGTTTAGGCATATTTATATATATAAGGTACATCATATAATCTTTATGTAAAATCTACTGAAGTTTTTATGTAGATAGAAAAAGAACAATACATTGTAACTAATTGGCCAATAATATTTATATGCTTCACGTACGGTAAGCTAAAGAATCGTAGTACTTCTAAATAACACCCGTAAGAAGCCGGGACAGATCGTTATAGTTAACTAAAAGCCAATCCTTTCTTTACTACAATACTAATCAATAAATACATTCTTAGTTTAACATTTAATTTATACTCACTGCCTCTCTGAGGGATCTGGGCCGCTGGAACAAAATAAGAGACATTGTTAGGCACATGAAAGAAATGAAGGTATTTGTTAAAATGAAAATAAAAAACTATCGCGGCTTGATTGCTTTCTATCAAGCTCATCTTCTATTAACAACAAACATGCTCTAAACATATACGTATAATCACAACAAGGCTTCACTTTTATATTGCTATTGACTTAATGACAATCAGAATTATTATTTCAATAATATAATATAATTTTAGTATATTATAGTAGGCCAAAACCTCCTTTCTAAGAAGAGGCCTATGTCCAGCAGTGGCCTATTAAAGGCTGTTGATGTGATGATGTGAATATAATATAATAACAATAGCATTAATAAAAGCTTTACGATTGTCGTGATGGCATTAAAAGAATTTCATCTATACAAGAATACCTAAACATTTGCTTGAATATTGTATACAAATTGGCTCCCAACATGGGACCATTTATGACTTCTCCGTTTCTCTTCATTTCTGTTGATTTTATTTCAATATTCAAATATGAATATGAAAATAAAATCTGCTCATCATTCTACACTTAAAAGAACTAAATTGGCTGTTTATTTAAAGTATTTTTCTAAAAAAAAAATATACTGGCATTGTTACAAGTAAATTAATGAAATGATCGACTTTCAGCTTTTTTGTATTAAAAGTTTACGTATCGAAGTAACAACGCCAATATATTTAAATGTAATCTATACACCAAACGTATTATATAAAAACGCATACCTGGCGACAATGTAAACAACATTAATAAAGGGTTCTGAAATCTCGCAGGCACCTAAAAAATCATATAATGAAAAACTATTGCAGCCCGGGCGCGGAGGAAAACAAAAAGGGAGGGATCAGGGCGCGATAGCAGTCTAACATTCATCTTGGCCTCTTTAAGCTAACAAAATAACACTTACCTACAGCTAAAAATAATGTTTTAAAAACATTATCTAATAAACAACCATTAGACAGTATCGTTGCCAGAGAAGCAATAAAGCAAGGATACTGTCTATTCAGAAAAAAAATAACATCTATGAGCAAAATCTCTATACATTTTACACATTGTATTGCCAGAACAAAAAAATCCATTCAGACATTATTTTTTCAATCTAAGTTGGCTTGTCACAAAGATGTCTGCGAATCAAAACAATATTAGTGTTTCTGCAATTTATAATTAATTAATTTTAGTTGTAATCTTTGCGACAAGCTATACACAATTTTATAATACCTATGAGAACCAAGTCCACTGCTACGCAGCCACGGGTAGGGGTAGGGAAGGTTTCTTTCGGGGTAATGGGGTGGCTTAAAATAAAATCCTGACGCATTGTATTATGGAGACAAAACAATGAAACAACAATGACAACGTCTATATATACAAATTTAAAAAGAAATAATGACTTTAGTTTGGATATACTTTATTCACGTTATGCGTTGCACAGTAAAACTGTTTGATTTTATTTATTTTTAATCAAACTTACTCAAATATTAGGCTGGTATTAAACCTTAAACCATTAGTAAGAATTTCGGTACTTTGACGTTTAAATTAAAGGAATTATGAGATTATAAACAAAGAATATAAGTTGTTAAGAAGGAGAAACAATAAAGAAGAAAACAAATGAGAAAACAGAAGATAATAGGAATCTGGTGGAAACCAGGAGCGAAATCCAAGATGAGGGAGGACTCACAAGCAAGAAACATCCCCTGCTGGTTCATAGGGCGCATCCCAGGAGGGTGTAGGCCCAGGGTACATTGAAGAGCTGGGGGGCGCGGGCGGGGCACTCTGGTAGTCCCTGGGCTGGCAGTAAGGCTGTTGAGGCATGTTGTTTACATTGTCGCCTTTTATCGTTTGATGTTGGTTTGGCGTATCTGGAAATTTAAGGCAAAGTAAATTTCGTTTTAAACAATATAGGTAATTTAGTTATAATAACGGTTAGTTGTAACATAGTTAATTATAACTGGTATTACTAGAAATGAGTTGTTGATTAACCAACAAAAAACCAAGAGAGAGTCTAGAGATTTTTTTCTAGTTGAAGTATAAACCCGACCAGCGAAAAGCTCTGACAAATCCTTTTACAATCAAAAGAAAAAGTTAATTATGTTAATACGTAATATGACAGGCAGTGCTCCCAGACTCCGAACAACATTTTGTGGATCACACAAAGTGTTGTCCCATGTGGGGTTTGAACCCACAACACTCGGCGTAATAGGAAGCGGCGTGGCGACCGCTTAAACCACTACGCCATCCGTGCAGTCAAAAATAAACGTAAGTAAGCTTTATAGAGGCGCAATACGGGTAAAATAATTTTAAGAAAAGAAAAGATTAAATTCAGCAGTCGACACACAATCACGATTAAGAAACTTAGCGAGCAATTGATTGACTATTATTGCTTTGCGATTTTGTATTCATCCTAACATTTAAAATGCCCATTTTCTTGTCATAAACAAAACAGTTACAATGATATAGAGTTCATGTAGCAACGCAAAATCAAATTTGTTTAGTATTCAAGACACTTTCACCTTAGTATGACTTGAGAATACAATAAAAAAACCCTTAAAACAAAGATAATAATAGTTAACATTTAATTTAAGTATAAAAAAATTATAAGAGAATCATACTGAATATTATTACGAATGTATAAATGACCAAGAAACCCCCATATAGGTACATATAAATGCCGGCGGCGGGTGTCAGTTCCCCCCTCGGTGGATCGATAAAACAAGGTGGCCTGACGTCACACGGAGAGGGGGGGGAGAAGGCGGGGTAAGGCGGTGAGGCAACAGCGCGGCATCGCCTCGTTTGCGGTACTACTGTACTGTTTAGGTACTTTTTTGGAATAATTTCTTTCAGGATAACTGATGCGACTTCATAGTCAGTGCCGCAGTATTGAGGGTAGCCATTAATGTTTCTTTAAGAAAAAGTCCTTAACCCAGAAGTTATAAAGTTTATTAAGGACAATATACTTGTACCATAGAGGCAATGATGTTTTAACTAACTTAAACTAAAATATGATCCAGTTTTAGAAATTTATTTTTTAAAATTAAAGCATATTATTCGTTCTTCAGGCTTTAAAGCTACTTTATATGCTATGAGACTTACTTTGAAAGTCTGGTTATTATTGCAAAATAATAAATTGCTTTCAGCTGGTAGCTTCCTTAGAGTAAGGACTTGCTGAAATATTTTATTAATTATATTAATAAGATGTATATTCCTATAGTAAAGTTTTTTACACCACTTATTAAATGAAAATGGCTCCACGAAACATACTATATTTGGAATAGTGAGAAATACAGAAAGCTAAAATATTAAACTTTTGTTGAGTTTCCTTTGTGTCCGTTTTATGTGTCTGTAAAGTCCCCAGCGACACAGGATACATTCCTACTGCGAGAGTTGTCTTTTAAAAAAAAAACAATGTGCCAGAAGGTAATAAATAAAAATTACAACAAGCTATGAGTGTTCTGTATATTTAGACCTGTCATGGAACCAATTCTATGCCATGTCAGTTCAAATTATAGTGGTCGAAATTCCAAAACCAGGTCATCTCCTGTTCAATTAAAATTTGATTTCATAATCTCACACATCACATCAATCGCTCACATTTTTTTCATGTCCCTAACCTAAAAGTCAGGATTGACAAATAAAGGGGAAGGTTTTTTTTGGGGAGGAGCGTTGTAAGTACGTGTTAGAGTGACCCATGTTTTCACCCCCTACCTACTCTGATAATCTTCGCGTAATGTTCTAATTAACAGGCGGCACAATGAAAACGTGATTAGAATTATAGAACGCTAATATCAGATCTTAAATGGGAGAACCACGCTTCAGCAATGACTGAGGTTACCGTATCCCTCCATTCCTCCCTCCATCCCTCCCTCCATTTCTCATTTCTTTCTTACTTACTATCAGGTGGTCTGGTTCTTGACCATAACACACCTTTCTAGACACTTCATTGCATATTAGATTCAACAAGAGGAAGAAATGGGTCAAATCTTTCAAATTCATGTTTTCTTTTAAGTTTTTCTTACACTTTTCCGTCTAACCTTAAATATATCTGTGCCCCCCACGTAAAAAAAGTAACAAAATTCAAATTTTGTGTTCCAAAAAATAATTGTAACCACATAATACGTCATCTATATAAGTAAGTCGTTAACAGCATGACGTCACGTATTTCCTCATCGTCCCCTTTCCTGGTGAGATATAACTGTGAATACGAATATTTTTCTCTATCGTTACTGTGTACACGTGGACACTATCATATTATAAAAAACTAGCTGATTCGCGCAACTTCGTCTGTGTCTACTAAAAGGAATATATTTTCCCCGTTTTTGCAACATTCTTCATTGGTGCTCCGCTCCTATTGTTCTTATCGTGATGATATACAGAATATAGCCTTCCTCGATAAATGGGCTTTCTAACACTGAAAAAATTTTTCAAATCGGACCAGTGGTTCCCGAGATTAGCGCGTTCAAACAAACAAACAAACGAACTCTTCAGCTTTATAATATTAGTATAGATAGGAAAAATATTCTTTCTTTCACCTTAATGGGAGACTGATCATTTCCATGCCACGTTTCCATCTATCGAATTACATGGGAACCCCTCTACTACTATTTTCAAACGTGCGTGTTTTTTGTGCTTGACATGGTTAAAAAGTCGACAGCCAGCAAGTACTCCTTGAACCGACGACTAAAACAGGTCGTTGATAGATGTAGAATACTCAGTCTTCTGGGTATTATTGGACGAAGAGCTGTGCAGCTATTTATAGCTAAAATAATTACGATGTTCAAATATAAAAAAATTAAGCTAGGAAAAGAAATAAACACAGTGGCTTCTTTTTATTGATGCACGACCACCTACAACGTAATACATTGTCAGTTTAGTTTGAAAGTACACTTGCAGAAGAGCCAGCCGGAACGCAATAGACTTTGAAACGGTGGGAGGATTATAAGATGTATTACGAAATATGTAGGGCGACTGTAAAATGTGAAAGACGAGTGTATTTCGTTACGTGACTGACAACAAGGCGTTGATTCCTGTATGTAAACAGGAATTGCCGCCATTAATTTATAAGAAAATCCCCAAGGGTCTAAAAGAGTTGACTACGAATATATTTAAAAAAAAAACTTAAGAATATATTAATAGAGAGGTCTTATTATAGTGGAATCAATTTTCTTGAGGATAAGACATTGTGAATACCAAGGACAATAAGTACCAGTGAATATATATATATTCACTAATAATATATTCTACACACAACGCCATCTAGTCCCAAACTAAGCAGAGCTTGTACTATGGGTACTAGACAACTGATTATGAACTTTAATGACCTTTAATGAGAACTGTAAATTGTATTGTTTCTAGTTGTGGAAGTAATGTTGACATGTATAGGATTTGCGTATTTTATGTAATTATTCTTGTAGACTTTGTGTTTTATTTTTATTTTAATTTCTTGTCATTTTCTTTTTTTTATTAAATGAAAAGACAACCATTAGGAATATATCCTGTGTCGCGGGGGACTTTACAAACATACATGAAACGGACACAAAGAACACCCAGACTCAGAACATGTGGGGTTTGAACCCACAACACTCGGCGTAGTAGAAAGAGTCGTGGCGACCGCTTCAACCACTGCGCCATCCGTGCAGTCTTTAAATTAATTTGATTGATTTGCTATCAATTTTTTGTATTTGAAGATTGATGATCTTCTTTTATTATATTTGTACACCTTTTATGGTTGAACATGTTGATTCCAAAAAAAAAATATTAAGACTTGTATATTTCTGACTACGTATTGTTGTTCACACACACACATGTTCTGCAAATAAATGTATATTTACCTTTATCAATATTGCAAATGGCAGGGAACTTTTAAGCTCTAATAATGTAAATATTTCGATCCTCTATTCTCCATCAAAATAAGTACATATTTTGCTGAAAATGATAGTCGAAATGCTCATACATTATACAAACATATTTTATGTATTTACAATTAAGTACAACTGCTTAAATTTTCAATGTCCACACTGTCCCGTTTTATATTGCACGCATCGTGGCAACCCTATTTAACGACGTAAAGCATCAATCGCGGCGTGAACCGTCAAATTCGACTTGGAATCGATACACCAGCTGATACAGTCGATTATATGTCAGCGTCATTTACACAGTCAAAATTTTATCTTTCTTTTATTTTCGCTGACTTCATAACGTTGTGATGAACTGTAATAAATGGTATTGTTCAGAGATCAGGGGTTCGATTCAATTTAGAGGCATCAACAAGTACATTTGCATTCAACTTGATGATGGAAAAAAATGCATCTAAGTTTTCTTGTACCCGTAGTCCAAGCTCTACTTAATTTTGCTCCAGAAGAAGTTACAGAAGGAGATCAAAAGTCGAGGCCATAATAATCAATTCGAATTATAGGTATGAGACCTTGACTCGCTTGAGTATTGCGACCAGAGGGTTTAATGTAAGTTTGTTCCAGATCAACTCGCTCTCGACAGTGAGCGCGTGTAGCGTTGTGATTGGTGAAGATTTTAGCGCGGCCAATCGAAACGCCAAAAGAGGTCACCGTGACAAGCGAGTAGAAGTGAAAGAAATTTACACTAAGCCTCCGAGACCTATTTGTATACGCAATATATCTTTTTCAAAATTGCGTTTCCTTTTAATCTAACTTTCTTTCTAATATACTACAAGTTTCCCCATCTAATCTCTTGTGTGCCTAGTTGACACTAAAGGCTTTGTCCCCTGTAGACATGGTAATTATTGTTACTTTTAAATCATAATCATATGATGAAATAGCTGGTATTAGTCACAGTGATTTCACATGTAATTGTGATTTGGTCATAGACTCTGATCAAATTTAATCAAAAT